GTTCCACCTTGTGGAGGAATACCACACGCGCGGAGTAAAAAGAAATCACTTTTCGAACAACATGCCAGAATTTCGGCACTGCAAGAGCGACAGTGCTCTTCTCTCTGCCCAGCTCGCGTGCTGCTTTATGTGTGCGCATGCGCAGAAAAGCCAAACACCACATCGCTGTAACTGTGAAGCGCGCAGTTCCAAAGACTTTCGTACCTTTTTGACAAAGTGGGGAATGGCTACTGACATAAAGCTTAAGGATTATGTATTGTCAAAGTATAAAGAAAGAATTAAAGACTAAAGGGCACACTATATTAAATATTAAAAATAATAATAAGTAGAAATTGGGAGTGCTGCAGTTCCACAGTGCTTATTACGAGCCGCCACTGATTCTGGATAAAGAACGTAGAAGTTTGGAGCACTTTTGTGAATAACAGAATTTCAGAAATTAGAATCCTATCGGATCCTGAAAATTAGCATCATGTACCAGGTGCGGAAAACCCAGCTGATACACCATCAAGAGGATGTTCTGTGCAGAAACTCATTGAATCAAGATGGTGGGAGGGCCCACCTTGGTTGGCACTGCCAGAAGAAGAATGGCCTCGTTCTATTCCAATGGATAATAAAGAAGAGGTTAGTACTGAAAAACGTAAAGCAGTTATAGTTTCGTTAAGCAATGTTAGCGATATGTCTTCACAATTCTTTGGCTATTTTTCAAAGTATAAGAAAATACTTAGAATGATTGGGTGGATACACAGATTCATAGGAAATACCCGAAAGAGGAAAGAAGAAAGAGAATCAGGAGAGTTAAAAGTTTATGAATTGATAAGGGCTGAGAAATCTCGTGAAGATTATTCAACATGATTCTTTTTCATCTGATGATATTAAGAAGCTGAAGTCAATAAGTGTGTTCAAAGATGACGAAGGCATTTTACGTGTCAGGTCTAGGTTGACTGAAAGGAAAGACAATGAAAATTTTATTTATCCGATGTTACTTCCGAAGAATCATAAGATTGTGGAGAAATTGATAATTGATAAACATCTATCTATGTCTCATGCAGGAATTCACGTACTGATGTCAATACACTTAGAGAGACCATTTGGATCCTGAAAAGCAGAGCTACGATTCGAAAAGCTTTATATGCATGTGTCAGGTGCAGGAGGCATGGAGGTAAACGACTACAGACTGTGCCTGCTACTCTACCAGAAAACAAAAGAGAGATGAATAGAGAGGCTCGTGTTTTCGAGATTGTCGGCGTTGATTTAGCTGGCCCATTAATTTTGAAGGAATTAAAAGAAAAGCTTGGATTTTACTTTTCACATGTGCTGTTTTCAGGGCGGTCCATTTGGAACTTGATTTTGTCCCTTTCAACTCAAGGATTTTCACTTGGTCTTAGAAGATATATTGCCCGTAGAGGGAGGCCATCGATAATTTATAGCGATAAGGGAAGCAATTTTGTCGGATCCAATAATCTCTTGAGATCGATTAATTGGAATACCATTGAGATAGAAGCCACCACAAACAAGATCGACTGGAAGTTCAGTCCACCCGCAGCACCATGGTGGGGTGGCTTTTGGGAACGACTTGTTCAAATGATTAAGAAGCTTTTGCGTCGAGTCCTAGGCCAGTCATGTCTGAATTATGAAGAATTGATGAGTGTGCTGTGCGACTGCAAAGCAACTGTGAATTAATTTAATTTAGTGAATGCCAGACCACTCACTTATGTGTCAGAGGACTCGGATGCTCTCATCCCTTTGACACCGTCCTTGTTTTTAGGTGAAATTCCAGTTTTTGGAGTTCCTGACTTGGATCATCTTGATAAAGTTGATTTCGACAAAAGACTGAGACATTCACAGAATTTACGAGAGCTTTGGAGAAAGAGATTTAGAAATGAATATCTCGGCCTGCTAGTGCAACGACCATCTACAGTGCCGATTTCTCAACAGATAAAAATCGGGGGATATAGTTCTTATCGAATGTGATGACAAACGCAAGCCGTGCTGTGGCCTCTAGCAAAAGTGATTGAAGCTATATCCCGGAAACGACGGCAACATTCGAGTAGTTCGTGTCAAAACCCATGTCTGTAGAATTAGTTCGACCAATTCAGAGAATATTCCCTCTCAAAATACCTTCATCTTTGGAGTCAGATGAGGCAAATGAAACTGAGATGCAGGATAAAGACAGTTTAGTCTCAAAACTACCAAAAAATAATTCAGCTGCAGATTTACCAAAGGACATTAAGACTGTCGTGAGTAGAAGTGGACGACAAATTAAAATTCCATCTAGATTTCTAACCTGAACATTGAGTTATTTTACAGTAGAAATTTATGAACTTTTTTTTTTTTTTGTTCACTTGTATTTAACCTTAATATTTATGTGGACAGCATTTTTTTATATTTTGTTTTGATTGATTAAGTATATGTCATCAATCAAAAGGTGGGAGTATTGTTAGAACCCACCCTCAGTTATTTTTCTTTTCATACTTTGTCACTGTAAGAGTGGCAACCATCTGATTTTTAGTTCTACGGATTTTGAAAATAAATGACGATATGGAATTTTATATGTAAAGTTATTTTAAGTTTATTAGGAGAAAGAACAGGTAGTTCTTGCAAATCTCAAAGATTAGGTAAGCGGGGCTGCATCGTCTGAAAAAGTGTTTCTTTTTTATTTGTTTAATTTCTCTTACGCATCATTTTAGATTTATTATAGTATTTGAATAGAATATGTGGTAAGGATTAATGTTAAAAACGATCAGTTAATTCTTCAGATGATAAAATTTTTGTGCATGCTGAGTTATAAAGTTTTTGTTACACTATACTAAAACATGGCTGAGAGAGCAAGGATGAGTTATTAATTAGATGCACGATTCAAAGTGAATTAGCTCAATTGCATTTTAGAATTTACACTGCGATCGTTTGGCAATTTATATTTCTCTTGTGCTATGTAGGAATTGATTAATAGCTGTACTCTCCTTGAGCTTATTATTTTGTTGCGTATGATTCTTCTTCCTTGAGTGATTATTTAAACAGAATCAATGAACACACAATAGTATTCTTTAAAACAGCATTTTATTTAAATGCAATAAAACTATCATACAAATAATGTATGGTCTATTTTAAATGAAATAATTTGTTTTGTAATTTTTTTTCCTTCTTTGCTATTTAGATGGATTAATTTCACCTTAGTGGCTAAGGAATAATAGTTTCACAGTATATTTTTTTATTAGCTGATGTTGCAAAATATTAAAAAGATCACACTGACATTTTTTCTTTGCAATCACAGTTGCAAAAATATATATAAAACAAGAGAGTACAAAAATCTAATTATCCAATTAAAAGTACAGATTCTCCTCACCTTACTAACAGATATGAACAAACCTATCCTCAGAGAGGTCATATCCTCCTTTATTAAAAAGAAGAGCAAAATTTGCTGTACTTGATGGCAAACAGTGCTAGCGTCTTACTACGATGAAAGAAAATCTGTTCACACACTTATTTTCCCAAGAAATACACTTCAGAAATTGGTTTTTGTAATCAAACTACCATAACTCATTCCTCTCATAACAGCATTCTCATGATGATTTCTCTCATTAATGAGGCTTCAAAATGAGTCATATATTGACTTATTCCTAGCCATATAAAAATCCACTCGCCTCATTCTCGCATGCCTTAAAGACAACCTAAGTAAATAAGGTATAGTAAAGTATTTATTTATAATATATTTATTTGATAGCATTTTAGGAGATATCCATATCAAATCTAGTAATACTTTGTTAATAAATTTATGGTATGAATGGCTGTTTGAAACTCATTCGTAAGTTGCAGTGTCTGTATATATTTTCGCAGGGTATTTCTTCTAATTTGAGAAATACTGCACCTCTTTTTGAATAACAGTCCCCTCTCATTTCTACATCTTAATTTAACATAATAAAATATTAAAAATAACTAATTCTACTTTGAACTGGTTACCAATTTAGGTTTTTCTTTAAATGTATAAAAAAATAAATATGCATATATCTGGCCATCAAGTATTTTACATTTACAATTGTAAAATTCATAAATCAATTTATATGACTCTATATCATAAGTTAGGTTTTCATAAGGCAATCAAAATGACTCCTACAGAAAAAATTTTTAGTCTTAAATGTGATCACATTTATTTTTAAATAGTTAATAAATATCTGAACTTAAGCAATTTATAAAATTTTTCTTTTCATTAATTCCTTTTTCTATTAGTATTTTAAATTTATATCATCATTTCTACATACTTTGAGTCAATAAAAAAAAAGCATATTTCAAATGACTTTTATTTTTACATGAATTGAAATGAATTTTGATAAGAAATTCTTCCAAATGTGATTTTATCTAAGTAACTTAACTAACAATAAAATATTTCTACAATGAAATGTTTCACAGGAATAGTAATTAATGCTTTATTTCGAGATATTAAGCTTTGCACACTAACAAATACCCACTTCAGTTATTCAAAGCTTTAAAAAGAAGACAATCATCAAAATTTTGTAATGTTCTGTAGTAGCTGTGGGGATAGTCTTGATTCAGTTATTGTGATGATTGTTGTTCACAGGATTTTGGTATTTTAGCAGAGGTCAACTCATGGCAAAGTCTGCGGGTCAAATCAGAAGTGTGATGCAAGAGACCCAAGTGCCCTTGGAGGACAGAATTTAGATGGAGTGAAATACTCACTTCTCATCACTTCTGTGGTGAATTTAAGTACTTCAACTGTTTCAGATTTGTGAGCACTGGCTGACTGCCATAGTTTTAAATCTCAAAACAGTAGCCTAAAATTTTTGGAGAAAGGAAAGGTGGGTGTGTACAATAAATTTGATATTTTCTGCTTCTTGTGTAAAATTTAATATGATCCTTTGTTCCATATAAAACTTATAAAATGTAATTTATACTTTTAGTGAAAAAAGCAGACATTTTATTTTTCATTTCAATTTTAACACTTTTTTCCCTTGTGAACAGGAATATAAGAATAAAATTACACAAAATATGAATAATGCATTTATTATACAAATGAGCTGAATTTATGTACAGGTTGTTTTATACATACATGAAAAATATATCTTAAATCTGCAAATTTTTAAAAGAGAAGGCAAATTTTTAACACAGGTGATTTTGTTCACCCTTACAGTCACATATTTGATGTCACTCCCTTCTTAAAAATATTGTTGACAAGGAATAGGACATAACTGTGCTGGACCATACTTATTTTTATGTTATCAACAGTTACCTGCTTTTGGCTACAGAGACAGGTTCAAGAACTTCTTCTTACACCCTCTGATGAAGGGAGAGACATTTTTTGCCAGAGATGTTATACAAGAAGCAGTATTATTAGGAATTCCAAGTGCAAAAATGAATGTGGTCTCTTTCCTCTGATCTGCATCAGCAAAGAAAACATAATTTGTATTGTAAAACAGTATCAAGTATGCATAAATAAAGCCATACACATTAATATGGTCACAAAAAAAGCCAGGATTGTAAATCTGGACTAAATATAGCTTTATTATACAGGGAAATATTTACACCATTTTGCAATAAAAAATATCCAATTGGCATTTTTACTGATATTGAGAGAGAAAGGATTATGCTCGTTTCTCTTCTTCAAATTCCACATATCTCGCCTGTACAACTACCACAGTGAAAAACATTCTCTGCCTCATTAGAGGGTGTGAGAAGAGATCCTGACCCATTGGATGATGTCAAAAATTTGTCGCAAGTTTATGATTAGCCACTGAAAACAAAACACAGCTTGTGGTGGTTCAAGAACAGAATTCCTTATTTCTTGCAATAACATTCTTCAGAGAGGAAGCAATACATACATTAACAATAAATTTTAAGTATAAAAAACATTGGCAATGGATTCTAAGTATAAAACAAACTAATGTTCATTTGAACAAAAATGAGACTGCAGAAAATGTCAGATTATCCTTCTCTTCCTAAAAAATTTTGTAACAAACTGCAGATCATATAATGACAAATTTGCTTTTTTAAATTTAGACATATCAAGCCAAAAAAAAACTAACAAACTTAACAGTTTCCCCTTTAAATTGAAAAATATGCTAGTCCCTTTGCTTTAACTTGTGACTTTTCTTCTTTTTATGTTTATGCTTATGCTTCTTATGTTTCTTGTGCCGAGATTTCTTGTGCTTTTGCTTATGATCAGTATCTGAGGTCTTGTTTTTACTACCCTTTTGATCATCTGATTCAGATGAGTCACTTTCACTAGCAGCAGATGAACTTGCACTGCTAGTTAAACTAGATTTATCAGTCTTTTGTACCTCTTTTATAGCTGATTCTGGAATATTTGTGGACAGTTTTCCAGTTTTTAGTCGCTTGCGACTTGTAGCTGGAGACAAGCTCTTTCGTTTTGGCCTGTCTTTATGCTCAATAATTTTCTCATCAGGATCACTGTATTCATCATAATCAGGCTCAAATTTTAAATCGTCATGGAAATCTTTGTGTTGGGATTTGGAATGATCAGAACTTGAATTATGCTTATCTGGTGGTTTCACTGGGGAATGTTTCCGGTGTGATACTTCGTTGTAATTCGTATGGTGTCGCTCTCTGTTACTTCTGTGAGAATGGTAATCTTCAGACTGTTCCATACGCTGCTGATCATTTTGTCTTCTTTTATTAGAATAATAACTATCGGAAGAATCATAACTTCTAGAATGTGACCTCTTGAAGGTTCCAGGTTTGCGGGATCTCTCTGTCAAATGAGGTGGATCTCTTTCATAATGCCGCCGGCTACGAGCTTGCGACATGTAATCATTATATGGTTTTCTTCGGTCGGATCTCCCACTATGGGGACTGTAATCCATATTTTTCGAGTACTTTTCTTGCTCAGCAAACCTATGCTTTCTAGATTCTCGAATATGCATATCTTCATCCACAATATCATCTCGTCTGCTTTCCTTCTCTCTCTCATTTCTGTGACTATACTCTCTTCGATCACGAGATGAATTTCGGCTACTTGAATTTACTTCTCTCCTATCCTGTCGATCTGATATTTTATTCTTCCTATCTTTAACTTTTTCATCTGATTTTGATGAATGTACAGTGATTGTTCGATGAACTTTATGCTCGTCTTTGCTGCTGAGATTAGCTCGCTCTGCTTTTGTGCGGCTTGACTGCCTCTGCTTTCCATCTCTAGAACTTCTAATTTCTTCAGGTTTAGAATGAACAGAACGCTTCTCTTTGGTTGTAGAAATAGTCACCTGTAAAGTAGGTGATGCCAATCGTTCAGAATTTACGACACTTTTCAATTCAGGAACATCTTTATGCTTATTTGAAGCAGTTTCAGGACTAGATACTTCACTCGAATCCTTAGAATCTTTTTCTTTAGTATCTATTCTAGGTTTAAAAGGTTTTGAAAGAATGACTAGTTCAGCTCGTTGAATAATATCAGAGGATAATGCACCTTTTTCATCTTTAGGTACAATAACCGCACTTTTTCGCTGTGGCCTTGTTACAAAATCATCATCAATTTCTTCCCGTTCCCATTTTGAAAGACCAGGGACATCAACATGGAGGACATTTTCTTCATTTTCAGCTAATTCTTCTTCACTTACAGCCACTTCAATTTCTTCTGTATCAATTATTTCTCCATTATCACCAGGCTGACAAACAACTTCACCATTGGAATCTACAACAGATGTGGTTTCTGCATTTAAAATAACTGTTTCACTCTCTGCTTCATCTGGAAATAAATTTAATGTATCATTAACAGACTCATCCTCATTACTTTTTGCTGGTAAATCTTCAGCTGGCACACTTTTAGAACTTGACAAGTTTTCATTTTCAGCAGCTGAAGTCTCAGGTTTAGATGACACCTGTTCTTGGGTGTCAAGAGGATTTTTTTCTTCAGCAACAGCTTTCAATTTACTCTTCTTTTTTTTAACCTTAACTTTTGTAGAAAGATCAGAATCCGTGTTTACTGCCCCTTCCAATTTCTCTTTTTTAGTAGACTTTTTCTTTTTGCCTGGTTGATCAGGAACTTTATGCTTTTTATGCTTATGTTTCTTGTCTTTAACTTTTTCAACATTTTTTGCTACTTTAGCAGAAGATTCCAAAACAGGTTTATTTTCATTTATTTTTTCAACAACTTCAACTTTAATTAGGTTTCTTGAAGCCTCAGCATGTTTTTCAATACCTATCATAACTGGGATCTTATTTTCCTGCTTTTTTAGTTCTTTATTCTTATGATGATGATGATGCTTTTTGTGCTTTAAAACAGCTTTTTCTTCTTTCTTTTTATTGGCTATATTTTCTGAGTCTTTAGAATGCACAATTTTAATTTCAGGTTCTGGTACTTTAGGAAGTTCTTTAATTTCTTTTCCTCTCTGTTGATCCCTAGGCTGACGGAATCTTGGTTTGTATTCACGTGATCTATCACCAACCAAACCAGGTATTCTGTGAGAAAACTCTTCAGGATGTCTTTGATACTCTTGCCTTTTATCATACCTCATTCCTCTTGGATCTCGCTCAAATCTCTGATGCTGGTATTTTGGTTGATACATATTATATGGCGGATACTGATCACTATAAGATGGAGGATACTTTGGTGGTCTTTCAACAGGGTACTGTTCAATAGGTCGTGAGTGAATAGGCTGTGCAGGTGGATGCAGAGAATGCATATGATGAGCTGCAAAAGTTGGAGGTCGCATAACTGGCAGAGGAAGTAGTGATGGAGGTGGGCCATAGTGAGACTGATATGATGCACCTCCTCCATACTGAGGAGGCGTATAATTATGTTTTCCTGAGTAAGACATACCTCTGTGAGAAGGAGGTCGATATTCTTTAGGCGAAAAAGAACGAGAACGTGTTCTTGGTCGAGGTGACCTCAGTCTGTCTCGAGAAACACCCCTGCGTCTTAATCTTGATTCTGGTCTAGATCTGGATCGAGATCTAGAAGATTCAGTTCTAGTACGAGAGCGAGATCTAGTATATGATCGAGCTTTTGACCAAGACCTAGACCTTGAAGGTGAATACGATCTTGATCTAGATCTACTGGAGAAAGGAGTATGTGATCTAGATCTGGGTGAACGTGACGAACTTCGTGAAGGTGATCTGGTCCATGATTTGGAAGAATAAGAACGAGACCTCGATGATGATCGAGATCTTTCTCTATCTGAACTTAGACTCCTGCTACGTGATCCACGATCTCTAGAATACTCTCTCTCTCGATCACGTTTTTCCAGTTGTCTTTGAAATGCTTCAAATCTGTCGTCAATGCTCCTAAGAAGTAAAAAAGTTCTAATGTATAAAACATATGGAATCTGACAAACAGCAAATAAATGAACAAAGAAGGGGGAAGAAATTTCAATGACATAAGCATTATAAAATAATTTAAATGAATTAAAAACTCAGCAGTAATAAACATAGCCACGAGATTTTAAAGATATTACAGAAAAAAATTAGCATCTTCAATACTGGTTCTTTGGTATGTTATTTTTATTACACTAACCAACTAGACTAAAAACTTTAGAACGATCAATCATCTTTTGTTATTGATAATCGTTCCATGCATGTGTACACAAGAAAATATCAATACTACTCCTCAACAAATACCTAATAATTACTTTCCATAAATAGCTCAAAATAATAAAAAATAAGTATAAATACAACAATGAAAAAATTTCATACAGATAACTAAAATACATGTATCAGTTTAAAAATGAAAGGATATCTTCCTTTCCTTGTAAGAAAGACTGATTAACATTATATAAAAATAAACATCTTCAATTTTTTTCTTGAAAGCTCACCATTAAGAGAATTGTGCAAGTGTTTTTTCTGGTAAGCCTTTGGGTGTGGGAATGCAAAATCTGTATGTTCTCAAAAAGTCAAGCACGCAGTATTAAGTTTTCTCTTTATCAAATAAATGAGAAGATTTACAAAATTCCTCTTCACTTTGTTTATCAATTTTTATAAAATATATACAGTGCACAATTCATTTTAAAACTGGTAATGTCTGAAATTTAAATAAAATAGTGATAATTTTTGGGATACTTTTATACCTAACAAATCGTTCAGCATGGAAATACAGACCATCAATCCAAATGATGCAATACTTTAACAGTATAATAAAGATAAATTATCCATCTGGCGAAATGCAAGCTATTTTTAATTCACTTTATTAAAGACTAAAAAAGGTTAATTTAATGAATGTGAATAAAATACATCCAATTAGCATACCACACTTTGTACTTCTGATGATTAATAGGGCTTTGGACGTTTATAGTACAACTTAATAAATACAGATAAAAGTTAAATAAAGAACCTTCATGTACTCGTAACAGGCTCCCATCATGCAGTTTCATATTTGCCATGTTGAGTGGTGATCATAAGGGCAAATGAGAGTACAACACAAACACAGCTTTCATTGATGTTGATAGAGAATAGATAGTTGAGTATTACTCACTAAGAAGCTAAAAAGAGGTTGAAATAGGAAACAATAGCTACAAAAACTATGCAAATTCATAATGATATGTAGTATGAAATGGTGTGCTTCCAAAAACTGAATATTCTGCATATTTTAATAACTCCATCTTCTTAAATTTATGGAAAGTAATTATTAGGTATTTGTTGAGGAGTAGTATTGATATTTTCTTGTGTACACATGCATGGAACGATTATCAATAACAAAAGATGATTGATCGTTCTAAAGTTTTTAGTCTAGTTGGTTAGTGTAATAATAAACTTCAGAAAAATACTTCACTAATTACATTTTTTTTCTAATTTTGTCTAATTATTTCTCTTAGCAACTTTCTGATGCAAAATAAAAAATGCTCCATGCTTCACTAAAAAAGGGTCTAATCTTGGTTACTTTAGTAATATGAATAAAGGGAAGCACTACGAAGGCAAGCCCGCCAGATCACCTGGCTGCAGCCAAAGCAAAATTTGTAAGTTCTCTATACTCCTGAAAAGAAAACATATGAAAACACTACAAAACAAAAGAAATTAGTTCATTCCTTCTAAGTAACAGCCAATTCACCAATAATTTTTTTATTGTAGAACCAGGAAACAAAAACTTTTGATACTTGAGGTAAATACATATGATGTCATGATTTAAATTTAATGTAATATAGCAACATTTTCTCAATATTAACAAAAGAATTAACGTGGCAATAATATATTGTGTCAATTATACTAATTTGAACAAGTTGAAAACAGCAGCTATTTATTTAAAATGCTGACATTAATGAACAATTTTCGACATACAGTGATTTCACACGCAATCACGTGCTCTCTTCAATATCAGAATATGACCTCATATAATATGTTATTTCATATTTTGTAAAACTTACAATTTTTTATTAACAATTTGAAAGCGTGCCGAGGTAACACTTTTCAAAATAAAGCAATTTTATCTCCAACGAAAGAGACTGTTACCACTCAGAAAAACGAGTGTTTTTAAAGTTTTTAATACATCGTTCAAAAAGTCCCAGGACTAACTAAGAAAACAACATCCATTTCACAAAATTCACATTCATTCATCAACATAATCACCATCAAGAGCTATGCAATCACTCCAACACTTTTCTAACTTTTCAATACCATGCTTGTAAAACGATTTGTCCTTGTCAGCAAAATAAGCTTCAGTGGCAGCGATGACTTCCTCATTCGAGCCAAATCTTTTCCCCCTGAAGCATCTTTTTCAGATGAGCAAACAGCCAGTAGTCATTGGGGCTAGATCTGGGGAGTATGGTGGGTGGGGAAGAAGAGTGAAGCTCAACTTGTTCAATGTAACCAGTGTTTGCATTGACTTGTGGCACAGGGCATTGTCTTGATAGAAGATGATTGTTTTCTTCTTCATGTGTGGTCTTTTTTTTGCGATTTCATCTTTCAGTCGCACCAATAACTCACTGTAATAGGCACTATTGATAGATTTTTCCTTTTGAAGGTAGTCGATTAAATTATGCCTCTCACATCCCAAAACACTGCATGACTGTTACGTTGACAACGAAGTCAAGTTGACATTACTACGCCATCTGTCGGTTAGTCCTGGGACTTATTGAACGATGTGTTAATATCTCGGCTGATTTAAGTCGTACAAAGATGGGAACAGTCGAAATGGCTTTCTACAAATTTTTGGAATCTGGAATAATAAATATATTTAATGTTGGGCAATACTATTTTTATTTCATATTTTGTACAACACAGAAATTTTTTATTAACAAATTCTATGATTTGAAAGCGAGCAGTAGCAATACTTCTAAAAATAAAACAGATTTCTATCTCCAGCATGCGAGACTGTTGCCACTCAGAAAAATGAGGGCGAAAATTAGCATTTTTTAATTAATATCTTTGCTAATTAAAATCATACGAAGATGAGAATGGTCAAAATGGTTTCCCACAAATTTTTAGAATTTGGGGTTACCACTCTCGAAATTCAACTCCATGTCATTCCGTAGGAGGTAATGCCATAAACAGACAGACGCACAGATTTTAATAATAAAGAAGATAATATGGTATACAGTACAAAGTCTGACATCCAGACTTGTTGGGACTTTGCCGATTCCGAATATTAGATCATCAGTTTAAATCTACTAAGATGGCATGTAGAAATTATAAAATTAAAAATATGAAATCATTATTAATGAAATAATGAAGTATTTATGATCTAAAGAGTATCAAAATTTACAAAAAAAAAAGGACTTAATATTTAGTTGTTTACCTTATTAAACATTTCTTTCAATGTGAGTTGTTTAAGTTGCTTCGTTTTTGTGCTAATACTTTCTTTTTAATTTTGTAGACAGACAATCTTTTGTTCAGTTACATTGTTGAAGTCCTGTAACCGCTGTTTGGGGAATTCGGACTAACTTGTCAATCGAAATTTTCTCGTTTTTTGTAACTTCTCTGCCACTTTTTTCACTATCAGTAGCAGTATTTTCTGGATCTAGAACCATACTAGATTTTGCCATTCATTAATTGACTGATGATTGAGAAGCATTGTCATCACAATGAAAAACTTCTTTTATATCATCTTCATTTATTACTACTTCTCCACATTTCTTTACAATATCCGAAAACATTTAAAATTAGCGGCTATCATCATCAAATTTAGCTATCCTTCACTATACACATTTGGCTATGCATCATGAGCTTGGCAACTAACGACAAGTTGTTCCATTAAATTTTATCTTGCTTCTATCGCACACTACAACAATTTAGCCTGAATTGCATTAGTATGTCTATTTCTTGCACATGCTTAAAGATTATCAGAGTTCTGACTAAATAAATAATCACATATACTTAAGTCTTATTGACGGCTGGCGCTAGATATCTTGCCGCCTGATGCAGTGTCTGTGGGTCCTAAATTCTGCAACTCGGTGAGGGCATGCGAGCCCTGGCGCTGGTTCTGGGTTTTAAGTGAACAACAAATCAGTTATTCTTAATTCAAATAGCCCTAAATGTAATCTTTGGGTCTATGAGTATCATCAACAAAATCTATTTTTAGCATATGGAAAGAAATTTTTGGTAAATTTTTTCTCGTGAACACTTTTTAGTGCATTTAACTTAAATCTGTAATCATCGCCAGGCGATAAAAACGCTCATCGGCAACATAAAAGGTTACCATACTCCTTTATTATTCAATTACTAATACAACAAACTTGTTTAGGCATCGCTACATGAGTCATTACTCAAGTTGTCATGTTTTGATAAACATGAGGGCATGAAAAGAAAGTATAATATAATAAATAATGATTCGCCACTTCGGCGTCAGATCAAAGATGTGCCTATGTGGAATGTTTCGGTTTCAGATGTGTGCCAAGCACATACGCAGCAGCAGAGCCAAATTACTCATGGTACAAGGCCCACCAGCGGCCGAGCGGTAAGGTCGATGAACACTGGTAGTTCGGTCCGAGGTTCGAATCCCGCGAACGGGCTGGCTGCATGGGTGTTTTCGTGGGTTTCCCCATGTGTAACGTGCATACGAGCCAGTTTCCCTTAGAAAGTCCTCCACGAAGGCATCCCTCCCCTTAGGCAGATAGCCCTAGTGAGCTTTGCCATAATTAAATACACCACACCACTACTCGTACAAATTTATGCTAAAATGATTGTTTCTTCAATAACAAGGTATTTTATTGTGTGTATGCGGGGGAGAATCAAATGCATATACGTAAAGCCTACAAGAAAAACTTTGTTGGTGGTTTTGAGGTCCAGATTTTAGATCATTCCAGATAATGGACGCTCGGACTTTGTACTGTATAACAGAACAGCTATTCTTACATGGA